AGCAAAGAAAAAAGAGAAAAAATGACACTACCAACAAAAATATTATTCATATATATGTGTGTATATACATATATATATATATATATATACCTCTGACTATAGTATGTGGTAGGGATCAACTTTAGTAGGAATATATTTATGTTGCAATATACTTTCTGGACACCAGGTGACGGCATGAGTGGTTTTTGGTGGTTGCCTGCCTACCTGTTTGGGCTTAGACCCCCTGAGTTGTTGATTCCACTGATTTAAAAAAAAAAAAAAGGCTTCACAAGCAGGTTTCACAAATTCTCCCTGCAACAGTTCCTGTAAATAACAGCACCTGGACCCTATAAAAAGTTGTCTGTGGCAGTAGCCATTTCTGAAATTTCAAAGTATTTTTGCTTTCTGACAGGCAGCCTAGCCCCGGCTGTGCCTCCAGACGGCACCCCAATTTGAGAGCCAAATTCCACTCAGAGGTCCATGCTTCACCAATTTTTCCACCCAACACCTAGTTTCCCCTTAAACTGGGAATTGTAATCTTCCATGGGGGAAGGGCTGGTTACTGCCACCACCTGCAGCCTGAGCAGCAGCACAGAGATTTTTCTGGCACTCTCCACAGCTCTGGATTACACGTGGAGTCCAGCAATCCACCTCTTAGCTGCGCAGCCCAAACTGCCTGTCTACACCAATATTCCCCACCAGAAATGATCTACCCACACATTCTCACCTGTTGTTCCAGGACAGCTGAGCTAAACATCTATCCACCATCTTGCTCCACCTCCTCAACTATTTTTAAAAATTGGTGAAGTACTGGGCCATAAAGCTTTTTGAATGTTTTGTATTCCTTTTAGATGTTTTTCACATTTAGAGAGAAATTTTATGGGAAATTATACATCCTTTAAAGGATACATTAAAAAATAAGAAAAGTTGAAAATATGTATCCCACTTAAGGAATTTTAACAAAGAACAGAATTAGTTCCTAAAACAATAAGGAAGGTAACAATAATGATAAGATCAGAAATTGTAACATTCCCAACAAGCTTACAGTACATATGAACACAAAGCAAAAATTTAATGCATTGAAATGACTAAACAGAATTTTTAAATCTCTAGAAAAATAAGTAAAAACAGAGATTAAGTACAAATAATTAATGATAGGCTTTAGAAAGGAGTGGCTCTGTATTTCTCCAGAAATGAAAAAAAAATTAGCCATTAATACATTCATAATGAACATTATAGTTTTTTAGATTTATCTAATTTTGAGAAAGAGGCTCACTCTCACCCAGGCTGGTGTGTCATGGCATTAGACCAGCTCACAATTTCAGATTTCTGGGTTCAAGTGACCCTCCTGCCTCCACCTCCTGAGGAGCTGGGACTATAGGCGCCTGCCACAACATCCTGCTATTTTTTTAAATTTTAGAGATGGAGTCTTGATCTTGTTCAGGCTGGTCTTGAACTCCTGAGCTCAAAGGATCCTCTCTCCTCAGCCTTCCAGAGTGCAAGGATTATAGGTATGAGCCACTGCACCCAGCCCTGTATTGTAATTCTTTTTTTTTTTTTTTTTTTAGAGACAGAGTCTCACTCTGTCGCCCTCAGTAAAGTGGTATGGTGTCACAGCTCACAGCAACTTTCAGCTCTTGGGCTTAGCTGATTCTCTTGCCTCAGCCTCCTGAATAGCTGGGACTACAGTTGCCTGCCACATGCCTGGCTATTTTTTTTTATTGCAGTTTGGCTGGGGCTGGGTTCGAACAGCCACCCTTGGTATATGGGGCTGGCGCCCTACTCACGGAGCCACAGGTGCCGCCCTATATTGTAATTCTTAAAAGATGTAGTTAAAACATTTTTAAATTAAAATAAAATTGTACAATGTTTGATGTAAATGAACAAATTCCAAGAAAAATACAATTTTACAAACAGACACAGCAAGAAATGAAACTGTGAGCCATTTTATAACCATTAAGCTAAATACACACAGTTGAGTATCCCTAATCTGAAAATTTTAATTCAAAATGCTTCAAAATTTGAAACTTTTGAACACAGACATGTCAAAGGGGTGCTAAACTAGTGAGTATAACACAATATTCGCAAACCCCAAAAAGATCTGAAATAATCTGAAATCTGAAACACCTCTGGTCCCAGGTATTTTAGATAAGGATGTTCAACCTGTAATAAAATATAGTACCAGTAAGAGACTTCATTGGTATAATACATTAAACATTTAAAAATAAAATAATTCTAAGTAAATATAAAAATATGTCAGAGAATATGAAAATAGTGTGTATTCTTTTATTCATTTTCAGAGAAGCATAATTTTTCTGACCAATCTGGCAAGAGCAGTTTCATGAGTAAAACCATGGGCCAATCATACTCATAAAACTAAGATATTAGCAACATGAGCAAAATATGTGTGTGCATATATATGTGTGTGTATGTGTGCATGCAAATGTGGTATGTGTGTATAAACACATCCACATATACTATGACTGAGGTGCTAATAATATAAGGAAATTATATTTCATACAAAACAGTTAATTTCCTCCAGAAAATTGAGGAAAAGAAAATCATATATCATCTCATTGAACAGAAAAAGGATTTAGAATATAATTTCTATAACAATTATTAACTAGAGGTAGATGTAATTTTCTTAATGAGATAAACTACATGGATTAAGGACAGGCAGACATGGTACCATTATAAAGAAATGTGCAATATTAAGTATCATAAAAAGAAAGGTAAAGATGATAGGGAAGGAAGAAAAATGGGGTCCTCAAACTTTTTAAACAGGGGGCCAGTTTACTGTCCTTCAGACCATTGGAGGGCCAGACTGTGGGCCCTAGGATGAGTCAGCTGCTAAGCAGGACAGGCAGTGGCAGCAAAAACACCCGGCGGGCTGGATAAATGTCCTCAGTGGGCTGCATGTGGCCTGTGGGCCATAGTTTGAAGATGCCTGAAACTCCCTCAAACTTAAATGTGCTTGTGATATTTTACATTTCAGATTTATGAAGTTTGGTAATTATTTTATGTGTATTTTATTTAATGGTAAAAGGAAGTTTAAAAAATCTATGGGTTCAATGATTTTAGTTAACCATAAATTTTAATTAATTAGTCAAATATAAAATGTTTGTTACTGTTATAACTCAATCTAAAATCAGCCACCTATTAGCTACCTATTTAATTATGACTGCATCTCTACTAATGTAAACAGCATCCTTCATACAATGGAAATGTGGCATTCTTACCTGACACATAACACAAAACTGATTACTTAAATTGAGAAATTATTTTTACACAAAATGATCTAACTCACTCTACGTACTCTCTTTTAAAGGCAGTAAAACAAACATAGCAGCCATTTGTTTTTACTGCTGTTATTGTGTATTTTATTTTATTTTTTTGAAAATGTCTTATTTATGCCACAGGAAAGAATGTCAGATGTGATTTCTTCAACACTGTGTAGACAATGCCAATGCAAGTTTTCAAAATGTAGACCTCCAATTTACTCCTTATACCTTACTCTGAGAAACACTAGAATGCTCTTTGCTCCAGTAATTATTATTATGATCTATACCAGTGGATTTCAAAATTTACCATGTGTCAGAATCCCTTGAAGTATTTTTTAAAATTCTGATTTCTGGTCTCTACCTCCTGATTTGGTAAGTCTTGGCTGGAAGTGTAAGAATTTGTGTGTTTGTAACAGATCCCCAGGTAACGTCACTGGTCAGAAACTGTACTTTGAGAACCTCATCTACGAGACATAATAGGCCATTCTAACTGGTAGGAGCAAATAAACATATATAAAAATACCTGGTAAACTCTAAATGCTCTGAAGTATTAATTTCCATCATTTTTGGTCATATACCCTATCAATAGGAAACTTTTAGTATTCTGTGGAAGTATACATATTGATCATATTTGTCTTCATAAACTGATGTATGTTGCATTTTTAAAACACATAAAAATTAAAATGAATTAGACTTTTATAATGGTAATATAAATTCTAGTACTTTAATAAACATTCTTATATTTATGGCCACCAACTCCCACACAACACCTAAAAGAATTATTGACCAATTCAATATTGGTCAAATATTGACCAATTCCCTGGACCACTGCCCCACCGAAATTAAAGATATAATTATATGCTTATAAATGACTGTCTCACAAAATTAAAAAACAGACTTGAAATACTATCATAAAAAAACTTATTCTGATCCACATCTTTCACAGGGGGGCTCTAAGGCCTACCTGGAATTTTTTTTTGTTTTGTGTCAGAGCCAAATTAGAATTCCTGGTTATTGGATCCTTCCCTTAAATGTTGATGCTTGATAGTATAATAATAAATGTACACACATTTTTTAGTTCCAATAAAAGATCAAATTCCTGTGGTGGCCGTTTTTGATTTTGGAAGTAGAGGTTTTGCTTTGTAATGACAGATTCTATGATCCCTTTCCCACTCATAAGGAAAGTAGTACAAACCATTTTGCTGACATTGACAGTATTAAGAGACTTCTATAATATTAAAAACTGGAAAGTTCTTTGAGATATATTTTTAGTTGTTTCTAATTATCTTTCTGAGATTCTGAATTTGTGTCATATCAATATATTGTTTTGATTATCTTTCTGAGATTCTGCATTTATTTCATATCAATATATTGTTTTAAGGGAAAGTGTATGGTTTTAAATGAAAATTACTCATTTAAGCAACTTAATTTGTTTTTCAGCTCACAGAAGACCCTGATGTCAAGATCAAACTTAAGATACAATCGTTAATATATCCAGCTCTTCAGACTCTTGATATGGATTTACCATCCTATAGGGAACTCCCACAATTTCCAATGCTGACCAAACAATTTATGGTTAGGTTTTGGAGTGAATACTTTACTACGGATAGATCACTTGAAAAAGCCATGCTCTTAAATCAACATGTACCAGTGGAAGCAAAACATCTATTTAAATTTGTTAATTGGAGTTCCTTGCTCCCTGAGAAGTTTAAGAAAAGGCACTCTTATAATAGTCCAACTCATGGTAATTCTGATCTGGCTAAAAAATATCCAGGGTTCCTAGATGTGAGGGCAGCCCCACTGTTGGCTGATGACAACAAATTGAGTGGTTTACCCAGGAGCTATGTCATCACTTGTCAATATGATGTCTTAAGAGATGATGGAGTCATGTATGTCACCCGCCTTCGAAATGC